AATCCTTTCATGTAGAATCAGTCAGTGGAGAGTAAAAAAAAATTGAAATGGGTTTTGGAGAGTTTACTCGTGTAGAGTCGATTTGTGGAGAGATAAAAGTAGAATTTAAACTTAAAGTTTTTATTCAAGATTGGAGAATCCTTTCGTGTACAATCAGTCAGTGGAGATAATAAAAAATTGAAATAGGTTCTGGAGAGTTTATTCGTCTAGAATCGATGTTTGAAGAGATAAAAAATGGATCAAAAAATTTTAGTTTTTATTCAAGATTAAAGCATCCTTTCGTGTAGTATCAGTCAGTGGAGAGTTAAAAAAAATTGAAATAAATTTTGGGGAGTTTACTCGTGTAGAGTCGATGTTTGAAGAGATAAAAAATGGATCAAAAAATTTTAGTTTTTATTCAATATTGGAGAATCCTTCTGTGTAGAATCAGTCAGTGGAGAGTAAAAAAATTGAAATAAATTTTGGAGAGTTTACTCGTGCAGAGTCGATTTATGGAGTGATAAAAAGTGGAACTAAAACTTAAAGTTTTTATTCAATATTGGAGAATCCTGTCGTGTACAATCAGTCAGTGGAGAGTAAAAAAATTGAATTAAGTTTTGGAGAGTTTACTCGTGTAGAGTCGATTTATGGAGAGATAAAAAGTGGAACTAGAACTTCAAGTTTTTATTGATGATTGGAGAATCCTTTCATGTAGAATCAGTCAGTGGAGAGTAAAAAAAATTGAAATAAATTTTGGAGAGTTTACTCGTCTAGAGTCGATGTTTGAAGAGATAAAAAATGGATCAAAAAATTTTAGTTTTTATTCAATATTGGAAAATCCTTCTGTGTAGAGTCAGTCAGTGGAGAGTAAAAAAAAATTGAAATGGGTTTTGGAGAGTTTACTCGTGTAGAGTCGATTTGTGGAGAGATAAAAAGTTGGAACTAGAACTTTAAATTTTTATTCAAGTTTGGAGAATCGTTTCGTGTAGAATCAGTCCATGGAGAGTAAAAAAAATTGAAATAAATTTTGGAGAGTTTACTCATGTAGAGTCGATTTGTGGAGAGATAAAAGTGGAATTTAAACTTAAAGTTTTTATTCAAGATTGGAGAATCCTTTCATGTAGAATCAGTCAGTGGAGAGTAAAAAAAAATTGAAATGGGTTTTGGAGAGTTTACTCGTGTAGAGTCGATGTTTGAAGAGATAAAAAATGGATCAAAAAATTTTCGTTTTTATTCAAATTGGAGAATCCTTTCGTGTAGAATCAGTCAGTGGAGAGTAAAAAAAAATTGAAATGGGTTTTGGAGAGTTTACTCGTGTAGAGTCGATGTTTGAAGAGATAAAAAATGTATAAAAAATTTTTAGTTTTTATTGAAGATTGGAGAATCCTTTGGTGTAGAATCAGTCAGCGGAGAGTAAAAAAATGGAATAAGTTTTGGAGAGTTTACTCATGTAGAGTCAATGTGTGGAGAGATAAGAAATTGAAATAAAATTTCAAGTTTTTATTTAAGATCGAAGAATCCATTCATGTAGAATCGGTCAGTAGAGAGTAAAAAAAAATTGTATCAAGCTTTGGAGAGTTTCTCTGCGTAGAGTCAGTTCGCGTAGGATTCTAACTTTGTAATTTATATAGTTTTGTAGAGTTTTGCTGTGTAGAGTCAGTCTGTGAAGAATCAAATATCTAACCCCTTTTTACTTATTATATTATACAGTAACTCTGTGTAGAGTCCGTCAGGTGAGAGTAAGATTGCGTTTAGAGTATTCATTTGTATAATCCACCATGTAAAATCGGTCTTTGAAGAATCGGAAAAGGTTGAACTGAGTCCCTGCCATAAATAATAGACATTCTCTGGTTGTTAATGTTTATTGTTGCATTTTGTTTTAATTATAAATAATATAACACGAATAATTTAGAAAATTTCAGAGAATAGAAAAAAATCTTAACTTTAATTTAGAAAATTATCTTCTTTCTTGTTACCTAAAAATAAAAAAAATATTTATATTCATGTCTTGAAAAATCACAGTTAGTGTTCATAAATATTTTACCAAGTAAATAGTAAAATTGTTTAATTCGAGGGGGAAACAACTAAAAAATTTGGTGTACACCTATTTCATTCTTCAAAATAATTCATTATAATTCACTATACTTCAGATAATTCATATACTTCAAGATAATTCATAGTAATTCGAGATAATTCAAAATAATTCATGATAATTCACAATACTTCAAATAATTAAAGATAATTTATAGTATTCGAAATAATTCAGGATAATTCAACACATGTGTACACCTTAATTCACAAGTTATTTCCCCCTCGGTTTAATCTGATATTTAAAAATAAAATTTTTATCAAAAGATGTTTTTAAAATACAGAATGTGAATTTAAAAAAATTATATTTTTTAATCTGTGTGATTCTGGAAAAGAGCATATATACAGTTGAAAATCGATCATTTAATTTTCAAGAAAAGAACATCAAATTTTGAGTTTAGGAGGCTTATATGCAATACGCATTAGTCTCGACTTATAGAGATTTAAATTCATTGACATGTCGTCTTAGGGAAGTTAAATAGACTTCGAGTATTAAGGGGTTATACCACTTTGACCGCATGAAAAAATACGCGTTTTCAAGAATTTTTTTTGAAGAACGGAAATTTTTTTTACTAAAATTCAAATACATAACGTTATTATGCTACTATTAAACTCTAAAAAAATATTAAAATTTTTTTTTTCAAAGTGCCTGTTTGGCAGGTGATTTAGCGAAGCGCTCCAAAAATCAATGGTCCTGCGGTGGCCCAGATAATTCACTCCAGATTTGAGCTAAAATAAAAAATCAAAAAGCATTAGTTTCTGTAGCCCAAAATCTAGAGAAATACGTAGTCGTCTTTAAAAATATGCATTTTTGACAAAATGGCGACGATTTGAATGAAAATATACGTTTTTTGGCCTAAATTTCGTTATTTAAAGATGTTCAGAAATTGTAAATATTAATATTTCGAAAAACCCCTACGTATTTCTCTAGATTTTTGGCTATAGAAACTAATAGTTTTTGGTTTTTTATTTTAGCTCAAATCTGGAGTGAGTTATCTGGGCCACCGCAGGACCATTGATTTTTGGAGCGCTCCGCTAAATCACCTGCCAAACAGGCAATTTGAAAAAAAAAATTTTTAATATTTTTTTAGAGTTTAATTGTAGCATAAAAACGTTATGTATTTGAATTTTAGTTCAATTGGTCCAAAAAAGATGAAGATCATTCTGGGTTCAATAAATGTGTATTCTCGTAAGGAAAATTCGACATTGTGATTCAAAAGCCTAGAGAAATTTTTTCTGTAAAACAGTACGGATATAAAATTCTTAGAAACCTGTGAGCGACTAAATTGACATCGACAAAAACATTTGCTTAATGAGGGATCAGTTTGTTTAGGGCTTGAGGACGGAGTCACTACAAAAACGCTTGTTACGAGAAAAATATCTCACCTTCACAAAGGCTGTGAAATTAGCATCAGTATTTGAACTTGAGTCTAGAGGTACATCATGTATCAATGTAGGGTCCAAAATGACAGGTAATTCAGTCAGCATAATCGAGGATAATCGTATATTTTGTGCCCTGGGTTAGATAAAGATACAGAAAATATTGAAAAAACGTGTATTGCATCTTTAGAATGCCCATCACAGTTTGCAGAATTTGTCGAAGTGAAAGGCATTTATCACGTTAAGATAGTTTCTCATTAAAAATCGACAAGTGGAGCTGCTGAAAACTTGTTAAAACTTTTAAAGACAACTTCACACTAATTATGAACGATAACATTATCATTAAAAAGCAGGGCTGGCAACCGGAATTAACATTAAAACTCTTAATAATTAAACAAAATGTAGAATTTTCAAAAACAGAAATAATTTATTTTGACGAAGGAGTTACACATTTTTCTAAAGATCTAAAGAAAGATTGCTACGTAGGTGAGATAATACAAACTTAAGACTTGAAAATAAGCGTCCTACGCTTACTTGGGTTGCTGAAACTGATAGTATTTGATCAGCTAGAGCTCACAATTGAGGAAAATCATTTTCCATGGACTTTCAGAAATTTAAGATTTCAATTTTTTTAGAAATTCTTCTTTGTGAAGAATTGTAAGAAATCAAAACATTTTTTATTCTTTTTCTTGATTTGTTCTACCCAAATATTAAAAACCGAAAAAACAGAAAAAATAAAATTTAGGTTTCCAAATAACGGTTTTCAAATTTTTATAATAAGGGTGTCGGTTTTCGGTTTCTTAAAAAATTTTGTTTTTTCGGTTATCGGTTGCTATCTATGATAAAAAGGATGCGTTGGTTAACTTTTTACGTCATTATCGTTTCTCACCTCGACTGCACCACGAGAATTTCACCTACAGAATTCTAAATGCGGAAAAAGATCAGAACTCGTTAACATTTATTCAAATCAGAGGTGAGGGCTAGGTATAAAAAAGCAGGAGGAACAAAAGAGCGTAGAAATTTGAGAGATTGTTATATTAAATGAGTATTCGGGAACAATAAGTAAGTGGTGTAAAGCTGAAAACATTAAAAAGTTGAGCTCAGTTTCGTGTACAGTTCGTACTTTCGATGGATGAAAATGTAACGTCATGTTGACCATCTTATAAATTAGAGTTTTATAATACTTTCACACTAATGAGAATGATAAGAGTATTGAATTTGGAATGGAAAGCGTGTTTAAAAAATAAGTCAAAGAAACAGTCTCAAATTTAAAAATCAATCATCTGTCGAGACCGAACTGCGACGCTCCGTTAGGGTTAAGAAATCTCGAGACTTTTTAATGCATAATAGTGCTAAAAAAAACTTAGATTCACCCCAAAGGATGATAGTGTGAGAACATATGAAAAGTTTAATAAAATTTGGTAAAGTTAAAAATATTTTTGATAACTACAAAGTTTTAAGTACGAATGAAAAATCTATTCTAAGTTTATTAAAAATGTGTTATTCAAGAGACTTCAGAAATATGAATAGGGTATAGTAATTTACTTGTTTAGTTAGTCAGGATACAATTTTCTTCGCAAATATCCTATATGCTGACTCAGGTAATAACCGCATCTATTGCGTCGAGCTAATTCTTTAACACTATCTAAGTTTTCCTTTCTTAAATGATCTTTGAAGCAATCTATAAGTATTAAAAAAAATGTTAATTACTCATATAATCATTTTAAAATTTTATGGTTCTATTTTATTAATATAGGGGAGAGTAGTCAGGGTTGGACAGTTGTAAAACTTGAGCCATCGCGTTTATTGTCGACTTAAGGAGGTGTCAAAAACTTCATTTCCATTTGAAAAAAAGGAAATACAAATTTCTGATAATCTTTTTTCACTTTTCAGACCAGGTTCGCGGTACAAGCGAAAATCTGAAAATTACACAATAAGTAAATTCATTACTTATTTCCAATTGTATTTGAGCGCCATTCTATCATTTCAAGGTCATTATTAATCATTTATCTGCATATTTAATTGATTTCCTACAGTGGCTCAACCCTGACTACTTTTTTTTATTGCCTATAACTCCGAAACTTTTGGTCAAACATTTTTATAATGTTCATCAAAAACATTGAATTTTAGTAGATGTTTCGAACAATATGCGAGAATGCATGTTAAGAAATTTTGAGGTTTTCAAGCTTCATGAAATAACACCGAACTTATATTGTACGTACATTTGTTCTTAAGAAAAACACATAAAAGAATTATTATTGAATTCAAAAAATAAAATGTACCAAAAATAACAATGATAATAAAAATTTTTAAATAAATAATGATCAATATTTTTTTGTTAAATAAAAAAGGAAAAGATTCTATATTATATTGCATTGCGCTCATGGGATCTTATGATCGGATCAAGGTGTATACTTGAAATTACCATAACCATAACACAATTTATATAATTTATTTTTAGCGTTATGTTTTCTGTGTGGTAGTATAATTAAAAAGTATTTAGTATACCTTCTAAAACTCGCTTTTTCTTAGGTGTTAGTAATTTTCGTGGTGATCTCCCAGGTATATTTATCAGTCTTTTGGTTTCATGGACGCATCTATTTGCCAACGTCTGGCGAGACCAAATAGACGTAGAGAGATATTTAACAAATTTCGAATAATCTAGTAAATTTATTATCTTCCATGATTCATTCTTTATGAAAATATTATTCCCTAAGTGGATTTTCTCTGTCTATAATAGAAAAATGAGTAGAAATTGTTTTGTTAGAATAAAAGAGAAACAAAAGTGATAATATTTTTATTAATAGAAATCATAAATTTATGTTAACAATTGTTATGGATCATGGTTTAACAATAATTCAATTTGAGAAAATAGTATTGCTTCTCCAAGAGTATGCTAGTTAGGGCAAAAATCTTCTCTAGAGAATAAGAGAGTCTCAAGGGTTGAATTGATTGTGTTGAGAGTTAAATGTATTGTTTATCAATTCAGCATAAAATTAAATATAGAGTATGATGGCGAAGAGTTTTTCATTTAAATGTTCAAAACTATTGATTGTTGAGACCGCAGGATTCTTATAAATTACAAAATGATTTGAACTAACATTTTCTTGTTAAGACCAAAATACTATGATATCAATTTTATGATAACCGGTCGAGAACAATACATAAGTATTTTTATCTATTTGGAAATATTAAAAAAATTATTTTTTAAATACGATATTGAAGTTATTTACAATCAACGCTGAAGATTTATATGAACGGTAAATATATTTTTTCAATACAAAAAAGACCTGGACTCAACCTGGAAGTGCAACAAAAGTAATCTTGTTCGATTCATTTTAAGTTTAAGTTCGAGGGAGAAAGAAATAAAAAAAATTGGTGTATACCTACTTCCTACTTCAAAATAATTCATGATAATTGACGATATTTTAGATAATTCATAACTTCAAGTTAATGCAAGATAACTCATAGTAATTCGATATAATTTAAATTAATTCAAAGTAATTTAAGGTAATTCATTATAATTCAGAAATTGAGGATAATTCATGTAATTCAAGATAAATTAGGATAATTCAACACAAATGTACACCTTAATTCATAAATTATATTCCCCTGGCTTAAGGTATTATGCTTAAATTCAACCAAATTACGATCATTTCCAGATAAGATAAAAAGTCACTTTTTATTGAATAACAAGTAGTTATTCAGAAAAATATGAACTGAAACCATTTTTTATAAAAAACAACCTCGCTACATTTGAAAAACTCTTTTATAACATTAATTAAGTATGTCTGAAAACTAAGGAAAATGGTATCAAATTTTAACAGCGTCTTAAACTGCAGAATAATCTAAATAACCTGACATTTAATTTCAGATAGGATTATTTCAAGTGACGTAAAATTATCCTGACACATTTTGATATTCAACTTAAAATGATATGCAGCAAAAATGAGACCAGGTTTTTTAAGTGATGACAGATATAAGTAGAACATAATTTTCGGGCATGTTATGAATATCTGACAATTTTCGTGGCTTCATTATCTTTAGGATATTCTTAGGATATTCAGTATATTTCTTGAGGTGAAAGGGTTAAAAGCTGACGAATATCCGTGTAACGTGAGGGTAATTTGAACATTGTTACTTTATCAATTTCATCTTTTTAATAATCATATAAAAACAAGCAAATTATTATGTAATTTTATATTAACCTCCTTATTTCCAGTTTCATTTGTTACTGTAATTACTGCATATTTTTCATAAGGTGTAATTTCGTCATTATCGGAAAGATCTAAAGAATATCGATTGTTATCAATAAGTTAAACAAAAAAAATTAATTTAATGTTGAAAAACTGTTATATAAGCCCTGAAAGCTACAATTTTATAAAATATTTTTTAAAAGTAGTTTTCTTCGCCTTATTTGTCTGCTATACTGTTAAAAAAATTTCCAAATCAAGAATGAAATGCTGCAACCAATTGGAGTCAATATGTGGAATGTTGATTCCTCATGAAAAACTAATTGATCGCTGTGTTTCATGCAAGATTTAGAGAATTTTAATTCGATCCTGATCGGAATTATATAAGAGTTCTTACATTAATATTTTTAAGAAGGAGAAAAATCAAAACAAACATACCAGATTCATTTAAAATTTTTGAATTGACACTTAAATATTTGCCCTTTGTTAATGTTGCATCAGAATTTCTTTGTTTTTTCTGTTTCTTTTTTTTCTTTAAAGGAATATTTTTTAACGAGGTATCTACAAGAAAACATATAGATGGGATCTCATTTAAAAAGCTAAATTCATTGCAGTGCTATAAATAAAGGTTAAATGGTTTTTGGTATTCAGATTGTGAAACTAATATTTTAACTAAATATAAAACTTAATGTAACATTAATAACTGGAGTTGTATTAGTTAAAAGGGTATATAATATTTAACTTACAATGTATTGAGGGGCTGATAGTAAAAATGGTTTAAAATAACATTGGGAGCAAAAGTGGGATAAGTGACTTGGGAGCAAAAACGGGTTAAAATGATTCGTGTAATTTATTGATAAATTCATTATATTATCGATTAAAAAATATTAATTATAATAAAATATGCATTTTTTCCTATTGTTAATATTTTTTAATCGATAATATAATGAATTTATCAATAAATTAAACGAATCATTTTAACCCGTTTTTGCTCCCAAGTCACTTATCCCACTTTTGCTCCCAATGTTATTTTAAACCATTTTTACTATCAGCCCCTCTATTAAAAATCATACTCAAAAATAATTTAAAGTTATATTTACAATTTAAAACCCATATATATTTTAAAATATTTTTTAGAGTTGCTGATAACAAATCTAAAATCAATATAATCCAGAACATAATAACATACCACATATTATCTGAGTAAGAAGTTGAAGATTTTAAAAGATGGCGAGAATATTCCTTCGTTATAGAGGAATTAGAAGCTATTGAGAAAAAAAGGAATAGTGAATGAGGATTTAAGAAAAGAAAACAAGAAAGTTGAAAGAGGAATATAGTGTTTGACTGTGTGAGCTAAATGTAAAGGTTTGAATATTTGGAGGAAAAGATATGTCACAAAAGATAACAGTTATGCTCAGTTATGTTAGAAAAATATATGTTATAAACTATCAGTTAATAACAATTATAGTTTCAATATCCTGAATCCAAAAACAAACATCCTTTAAATATGAGTCACTATTTAAATAAGTGTTGTATTACCAGAATCAGAAGTATTTATCTGTTAAACCCGTTTAGAAGATTTGCTATTAATTTTCTTTTGACCGTGTACAACATCATCTTTTCTTAATTGGCTCGTATCTAAAAGTTATTTTCATAGAATGAGAAAAATTGCTTTGATTAATGAGTAAAAAAATATTTTAACTATATTATTCAATGCACAGCTATTTAATTCATACCAATTTTAGATGTGGTAGCGAAGTTACCATCTTGTATATCTATACAATAAATAAATAATTATTAAACATAAGAGAAGAAATTTTTCATCAGAAATAAAGCTTTATTTTTAAGACCATATAATAATATAAACATAATGGTTTTCTTTTTTGTCTTAATATTATTATTTGAGATTATGAATTTATAAATTTATAGACATTACGCGTTTGGATAAATATATTTGTCATCACACATCTGTAAACTATACTTTAAAGAAATCTCTAAAGTATTAAAATTATATGTAGGAATTGTTACAAATGAAATATCGTATAAGTCATATAAAATACTATCATAATATATTTATATATGTAGGATTTCTTTGTAGATTGACAAGCTATTCATCATAATATCAACAAATCGTTAATGCTAATATATTGTCAGAATTTTGGGGTCTTTTAAGTATTACGTAAGCATCTAAGGAGGAGGGAGGGTTTTCTCATTTGTTTATGCACGCACCATACAAAATTCTTATTTTTTCCATTATAGTATGCTTATTATGCACATTTATTTATATTGATAATTCATCTAAAGGATTAATTAAACATTTTACAGCTCCTGTATACTTTATAATTATTTCTAAATATTTCCTGGTTGTTTTAAAATTAAAAATGATAATCAACAACCACTTGAAAACCACCCTAAAATTCATAAACCACCCCTTAAAGATAACAATTTTTGTAAATGATTAAAAATTTGTGAATTCTTAGTGCATGTAAAATATAAAAAAGTATTTCTAAGCTTCACATATATGAATGGTATACAACGCCTTGAAACCTACCCTTAATTCATAACTATTTTTAGGTACTGACAGTCAGTGACCAGAAAAACCCGGAGTGACGAGTTTCAAGCGAATTCGATGAGTTTTAAAAAATTTGTCCGACATATTTGATCCGCCATTTGGAATTTTAAAAAACTTCGTTACCCTTGTGGAGAATTTTTGTTACTTATTTTTTTTACAATGTTGACAATATTTTTTTAAACGACTTTTTTAATTATGTATGTAACACTATATGTTAATACTTCTATTCCCTTCTAGGCGCTTTTTAATTGAGTTTGCACAGATTTGAGACCATATCACACAGAATTCAGGTTTTGATATTGGTAGAAAGTTTGAATGTTACAGTTAAGACAACCTACAGAGAACTCCATCTCCCCCAGAAAGTTTAATAACCACTTAATCTTTAAAAAAGAAATTTATGAATGAAGCTGTGTAATTTTTAAAATTGTGAAAACGTATCGCCGAGATAATTGATTACGGAATAATTATAAAGTTATAAAAGTTGTTCTTTTATAATATGTAAAGAAATGAATAATTAATTCATACCATCACTTGGTTCAAATGCATTGTATCTTGTTTGACTGTTAGTTATCTTACGAGTAATCGAATCTAAACAATATATTTTATTATTTTTATAAATTCAAGCATTAAGAGTATCATATGATATGAAAAGTATATTTTTTGCTTTTTACGGTTTCGTGGTTTAGGACAGAAAGCCTTATAGTTTCGCTTTGGTGTCCGTTCGTCCGTCGTACATTCGTATGGTTGCAATGGTAACAGATACCATAGCAACCGTCCGTCCATTCGTCCGTTGTATACTCGTATGGTTGCCATGGTAACAGTTACCATGGTAATAAACGTTACCTTAGCAGGCCCTAAAGCCTCCACATAACTTTTAATTTAAATTTAAAAAGCCAAGAAACCTTAGATGTTTTGTAAATGTTTTCTAAAAAATCATGGACGTAAATTTTCCAGAAAGTTTTTTTTGTTAATTATACGAATTCAATAATTAGATTTTATTATACCAGAATTTGCAGTAGACTTTTTTGATGTACTCGGCGGAGGAGTTTTTAAGATTTTGTCAGTAGCGGTATCATCATTGACATCCGAGAGGTCAGAACTATCTATAAAAATTCATTCATATTATGAAAATGTACTTGACTTTTTTATTATTTCTACACATTTAAATGGAATACGCAACAAGGCTTACTTTCTACCAGCGAAAATACTTAATGCAGCCTCAAGGCCTTTCTCCAATGGGATCCTAAACTCTTGCGTTGCGTATGCATTGCGTCGGTTGCTATTGGCAACCAATGCTAAAATCAACGCGTCAGTCACGCAACGCAAAAGTTTAGGTTCCTATTGGAGAAAGGCCTTCAAAGGACTCAAAACCCGTAAAAAATCTGATGGATACGAACGCTAAGTTTTGTGAATTAAAAGGGAAGCATGAAGTATCGAATTTATATCATGCAAAAACATTTTAGCGGGAGTTTTAAAATCAACTAATCTCTAAAATTATCAAAAAAATTGTGATTGGTTAACTTTAAAACTCCTGTTAATTATAAGATACATTTTATAAATATGCATGACATTTACTTGCTTGAAATTTGTAACGATAAATTTGGTTAAAAATGTCTTTCTTCAGAACATATTAGATCCCGTTAAGCACCATTTTTGTAGAAAAGTAAAAACGGTAATGTCATATGAAAAATAAAAATTTGATCAATTCTGTAATTTAAAGTTCCTCAACTATTATCGTTGTCTTACAATTTGGTCGCGATTTACTACAGTATTTAAGGGGTTAGTACCACATCTCAGCGACTTTTCTTAAACATTTTTTTATTATAAAATTTATTTTATTTACTTCAAACTTTTTATACCTAAAAAAAAGAGTTTTAAACTATTTAAAAAAAATTTTATTCCTTATTTATTATGGATTATCTTGCTGTCATGGCCGCCTGAAAATACCCCTACTTGTGATTGGTGGACACGATATCTCCAATTCAGGTCAACGAAAAATAAAATTGTTGATATTTTCTTGAAAAGTAAGCTCGTCGCTTTTGTCGGAACTACAGTCAACTATTTTCGATGAAAGAAAACAAAATGGCGAACTTTTTTCATTCTTGGCCTTGATTTTTCAACTTAAATTGTTTAAAAAATGGTAAGATATTAATAAAAAATTATGATTGTAGTTCCGACGATAGCGGTATATATGTAGAATAATCCATAAAATTTTTTAACTTAATAGGTACAATAGTTTTTCTTTGGGATGTCCGCCAGGTCAAAAAACGTTATTTTGAGATAAATGTTTGTTTGTTGTTATATACATGTATATACGCTTTTATATACATATTTATATACATATATGTGTACTTTTATATAGGTATATTTATATAGGTATACACGGAGAGAAATGGATGGTACGGGGTACTATCTAGATAGTACCAGATACCATATTTGATCTTACATATATGGACAGCAATCTAGATTCTATCAGTTACTATCCAGATTGTACGGAGTAACATCTTGATTGTAGTGGGTAACATAACCATACTTTTCGTAACATCTTTGATAGTACCGAGTAGCATAATGATAGTACTTTTTACCATCTTAAGATCATAAGTTCTTACCATCTATTTCTCTCCGTGTACATATAATTTTCAATTTCAATTTACGCAAAAAATATGTAAAATTTTGAAAAAATGCAGATGGCTTTTTGTTTCATTTTTTCGTAGAATATGTACCTTTAATATGTACACCCATGACTGGGACACTGTATATATTAAAAGTATACATTGTACTGGCGAAGAGTACGCTCCGTGGGAGCGTGAATTTTTCATTGTATCCTGTTTTTCGATATGTTACCGAAGTTTCCAACTAAAATAAAAGTTTCCATAGCATTTATACATATATCTACTACAAGAATCTGCAATTTTTAAAAATCGAGTTTTTCAAAAAAAGATGTGGTACTAACCCCTTAATAACAATTATAAAAAAGTTAATTAATTATGTCTCCATATACCAGATTCGATAGATGATTTTTTGTAAGCCTTATGAAGTTGGTTTGATAAGTCATCTGCAAATGCGTTATGATTATCATAATCATCATCATCCCTATGCTTGTCAACATCATTCTCATTATTGTCATCATCATCCACATTGTTGCCATCATCATCTCCATTGTTGATATCATCATCCTCATTATTATCATCATTATCCCCATTGTTGTCATCAGTATCCTCATTATTGTCATTATCATCCCCATTATTGTCATCATCATCCCCATTGTTATCATCATCATCCCCATTGTTATCATCATCATCCCCATTGTTATCATCATCATCCCCATTGTTGTCATCATCATCCTCACTGTTGTTATCATCATCCCCATTGTTGTCATCATCATCCCCACTGTTGTTATCATCATCCCCACTGTTGTCATCATCATGGTTATCAACGTCATCATCATTTTCCGTGGTATCAGTATCTTTAAGATTATTTTATTTATGATATTAAGGGGTCGTCCATATATTACGTAACGCTTAAAGGGGTGGGGGGTTACCAGACACTGTTATGGTCTTGTTACGATGGGGGGAGGGGGATCATAATATAGTGTTACGTAACAAATTGAAAAAATTATTTAATGAGAGAAAAAGAATAATCACAAGAAGTAATAATGTAACTGTATTCACTGCCCGTGCAGAAATTTTCCTACTTATTTCTGTTTTAAGTAAGTCTCTCTCATGGCCCTTGCCAGTTTATCCATTTTACGAATCCGGTGTCAGTTTTTAAAAATTCAAAATGGTGGTTCCAGTATGGAAGATGAATTTATTAAAAATTTGTTCGCCGTATTGAATCAGTCATCTTGAATTATAAAAAACTAACGCCGTATTTGTAATTAAGTTTTTTTTGGATTTGCTGACACAAAATTTGTAATCAGCGACACCCGAGTAATAAATTTCAAGTTAATTACTTGAATTTTAAAAAATTTATTCTCCATATTGAATCCGCAATGTGAAATTCAGAGGTTCAAAGGAATTTGAAAATTTTTTAAAAATTCGCCACCATATTGGGTCTGAAATTTTGAATTTTGAAAAACTGACAACGGATTCGTAATCTGTGACCCCAGAAACCCCTGAGTAACGAGTTTTAAATGAATCATATGTTCTTTAATTGGGAAAATTTTGTATTTTTATAATTAACCAAAATAGTAAATATTTTGAAAATTTGACTCGATTTTGAAAAACGGCTAATGCCATTTAATTCAGCGTACTCAAATTAGGCTAATTCCCTGTTAAGATAAAATCGTAATTATTTTATTAAAATCCATATTCATGTTCACGTAGAAAACGATTTGCATAGTTTTCTATAAGAAGTTAAATGAAATATCTACATATGGGCATTTTGTCAAACTTTAACAAACTGAAGTGCTTATTCTTGTAATACATGTCAATTATGTAATATCAAAATGCCCATGTAAAGCTTTTTTACTCATCTTTTAAGCATATTTCATCCAATTCATTTTTTTAGCTTATAACAAAAATAAAATTTGTACCGTCGTCTAGACTTAATGCATCAATATCCGCTTCTGAAGCAGACGTCTTTTTCGTTTCTGAAACTGTATAGAGATATATTTAACCCTTTGCGTCACAGTGGTTTTTCACTATATTACAATTATATTTCATATGAATTCGCTTGAAAATCGTTACTCGGGGGTTTTCGGGGTCGCTGATTACGAATCTGACTTTAGTTTTTAAAAATTCAAAATGGCCGATCCAATATGGCGGACATAAAAGTTAAAAATTAACTGAATTCTCTTAAAAATTGATACTCGGGGGTTTTCGGGGTCGCTGATTACGAATCTGATGTCAGTTTTTAAAAATTCAAAATGGCGGATCCAATATGGCGGACATAAAGTTGAAAATTGACTGAATTCGCTTGAAATTCTTTACTCGGGGGTTTTCGGGGTCGCTAAATACGAATCCGATGTCAGTTTTTTAAATTTCAAAATGGCAGATCCAATATGGAGGACGAAAAAATAAGAAGTCAACGCATTCGCTTAAAACTCGTTAATCGGGGGTTTTTGGGGTCTCTGATTACGAATCTGATGTCAGTTTTTAAAAAATCAAAATGGCGGATCCAATATGGCGGACATGAAGTTGAAAATTTACTGAATTCGCTTGAAAATCGTTACTCCGGGGTTTTCAGGGTCGCTGAATAAAAAAATAAAAATAGAATTTCAGAATTTTAAATGTTTAAATAGAAATAATAGATGCTTATCTTTAAATCATGTACCTGACAACCCTTGGATTAGTAACCTGTAAAAATAAACGTTTTTTACACTCAGCAGTATTGTTATTTAGGGGTCATCCATAAAGCATGTGATATATTTTTCCGAAATTTTAACCCCCCCCCTCCCCTTTGTGATGCTTTTTCCATTTACGATTAACATGTAGTGTGATATTTTGCTAACCCCCCCCCTACCCCCTAAAGCATAACATGCTTTATGGATGGCCCCATACAAAATTGTTAGCATTTATGTTTTTGTAACTGAATCCAATGTATACCTTTTTTTTACTATCATAACGCTGAGAGCAGGATAGATAAAAAAATGAAATTATTATTTTCGAAAAGTGACATGAGATTCGTATTCAGCGTCCCCGAAAACCCCCGAGTAACAATTTTCAAGCGAATCTAATCAATTTTCAACTCCAAGTCTGCCATATTGGAACCGCCATTTTAAATTTTGAAAAACTGACATCAGATTCGTATTCAGCAACCCTGAAAACCCCAGAGTGTTAATTTTCAAAGAAATTCAGACAATTTTTAATTTTTATGTCCGCCATATTGGATCCGCCATTTTGAATTTTTTAAAACTGACATCAGATTCGTATTCAGTGACCCAAAAAACCCCCGTGTATCGATTTTCAAAAAAATTCAGTCAATTTTTAGTTTTCATGTCCGCCATATTGGATCCGCCATTTTGAATTTTTGAAAACTGACATAAGATTCGTATTCAGCGACCCCGAAAACCCCGGAGTAACAATTTTCAAGCGAATTCAGTTAATTTTCAACTCCAAGTCCGCCATATTGGATCCGCCTTTTTGAATTTTTAAAAACTGACTTCAGATTCGTAATCAACGACCCCGAAAACCCCCGAGTATCGATTTTCAAGGGAATTCAGTTAATATTTAATTTTTATGTCCGCCATATTGGATCCGCCATTTTGAATTTTTGAAAACTGACATCAGATTCGTATTCAGCGAACCCGAAAACCCCCGAGTAACAATTTTCAAGCGAATTCAGATAATTTTTAACTCCAAGTCCGCCATATTGGATCCGCCATTTTGAATTTTTAAAAACTAATGTCAGATTCGTAATCAGCGACCCCGAAAACCCCCGAGTAACAATTTTCAAGCCAATTTAGTAAAAAGAAAAATGTGTGACTTAAAGGGTTTTAATTATCGAAATTATAATAAGAATCATCATTTTGCAAACATGAGAAATATTTATATACAAATAGAATTTCATTTTACTGAAGATGTTATATATTGGCATTTTTTAATTCTGTAGGATTTAATGTTTTATTGTAAATTAAATCGAAAAAATTAGAGGTGTTTATCTTGAATAGTTTTTATCATATAGAAGACTCAAATGAACTAAGTAACTCAAAACCAATAAAAGTTTAGTAGAATCTTCAGTACTTAACATTTCATAATTTTTACACTTTCAATATTCCTTTTTTAAAACATCCCTAGACAAAAAGAACTACACCTGCCGAGGGGGAATTTACTAGTTAAAAACGTGTACACTTGACTACCAGTAATACACCTCATATTACCCTTATTACTAAGTAAGTATTACACGTTATTAGAGTATTACACATTATTACAGAGATATTACAGACTTCTTTGCGTTATTACAGTACCGTAATAACGCATTATTACACGGTATTACACGATATTACACAAGTATTACAGGAAGAGTGTACACTTGACTACCTGAGTAAATTCCCCCTCGACACCTGCTCAAAGGTGCTTTTAAACAGTTTGATTCAACTGATTCTACGTATGGCGCATGATAAAAACCGTTAAGTATTGTTATTTGGGAGGTCTTATTTAGCCTAGTTTTAGTGCTGCTCAGTTACTAATCAGACCGTAGCTAGCGTCGCTGGTCTGGAAGGTCTAGCCTGACTCATTTCTGATGCTAACTAGAAGAACTAGATAATTAAAACTTTTAAATTTAGAATTTCTAGACTATGTCTAGCGATGCTGGTCTGGAATGTCCAATCAGATACTGGTCTAATTTTAGCCATGAGGTCAAGATAACTAAAATTTCTTATTTTAATTGGAATCTTCAATTTTTTTCATTTAATTTAAGTTTATATTTCATGTACTATTTTAAAAAAGAAAATGTTATATTAAACACGTTAACCCTTTCCGTGTTTCAAGAAAAAATCCATGATGTGGTCCCAAAATGTTCAACAAATTCTGTCCGACAGATTTTTATGAAATTTAGTATATATATGGGTGATTCTCCGCGTAGCGCACAACTTGCTTTTTTTTCATGTTGTGAAAGAAAAATCACAAATAATATTCACATAATATTTCGATTCCAATGTAAAAAGGTAATTTCTGTGACTACAAACAAAAACCAATAGTTATTTTTGTATTTAACATTATAATTTTTCGTGAAAAGTGGTTTTTAAGGCTGAAAACGTCAAAATTTGACCTGTCCCCACAGGATGTTTAAACAAAAAAGTTAATATTTTTAGCAATGTGCACTAATAAATACAATTTCTATAAAAGTCAAATGTTAATATAGTTCTACTTCAGTAACAGCAAAAGTTATATTCCTTAAGTTGATCCATGAAGAAAATAATCAATTTTCTAATTGATTTATCCTTTTTTTACTCATTTTAAGATTCAAATTTGTACAGGGCATCACAAAATCGTCTCCACCGGCATCCACCGACACATCAATATTATTTAAAAAAAATAGAATATAATTAAATAATAAAGGTTAAATAAAGTGTAGTTATATTATTTTAGTCTATATATATATATGTGAAACATATGAAACTGATTAAAAATAAATGATAATTTTCTCAAAAAAAAAAAAAATTATTTACATCAGTTCCATCGGTTCGACCGACTCCAGCGTCTCCACCCGCCACAAAATTTCGACCGTCACTAGTCCAAGTTTAATACACAATGAAACAAACGAAATTCAAAATATTTATTATAAACTATCATAGCTCCGGTAAGTTTACTATAACTTACCAAATAAATTTCTATAAATTACCGTATAAATTTCCATAAATTACCGCATAAATTTCCATAAATTACCAAAATAAAATTTTTAATTGTCGTTCGCGCTATATATATTTTTGTAAATTACCGCGAAAATTTTCATAAATTACCGAAATTAAAATGTTTAATTGCGATTTATGCTTTACACATTTTTATGAATTATAGTTAAAATTTCTATAAATTACCGTATAAATTTCAATAAATTACCGCATAAATTTCCATAAATTACCAAAATAAAATTTTTAATTGTCGTTAGCGCTATATATATTTTTGTAAATTACCACGAAATTTTTCATAAATTACCGAAATTAAAATCTTTAATTGCGATTTATGCTTTACATATTTTTATGAATTTTAGACAAAATTTCTATAAATTACCGCATAGATTTCCATAAATTACCTCTAAAATTTCCGTAAATTACCGAAATAAAAATTTTTAATTGTCGTTTGCGATATATATATATATTTTTGTGAATTACCCCAAAAATTCCCATAAACATTTTAAATCAAATTTCAACTATTTTATAGAATTCAACAAGCAAAGAATTTTTTTTTAATTTGTTTAAAAAAATTAAAAAATTATAAAAAATTTTTCCGGTCCACCATGGATATTTATTTCTTGACACTTTATCTTCAAAAATATGTATTGATATTTATCATTTCGATAAAAAAATATTTTTTAAGTTTCAGACACCAAATCGTGCGCTACGCGGAGAATCACCCATATAAGGGTTTATGAGGTCGTTGAATTCAAATTTGGGGGTCACTGATTACGAATCTGATGTTATCTTTCAAGAATTCAACATGGCGGACAAATATTAAAAATCAACCGGATTTGCTTGAAATTTGTTACTCAGGCGTTTTGGGGGTCACTGATTACGAATCCGATGTTATTTTTCAAAATAAAACAAATAACAAAAAAAACAAAACAAAAATTAAAAATCAAGCGGATTTTGCTTAAAATTTGTTACTCGGGGGTTTTTAGGGTCGCTGAATTCAAATCTGATATCAAAATTTAAAATCCAAAAACCCCAGAGTAACAAGTTTCGAGCCATTTGGATTCAATTTTTAAAAAAGTCGTCCGACATTTTGAAAAACTAAGCTCATATTCGTAATCAGCGACCCCAAAAACCCCCGAGTGACAAGTTTCAGGCTTTTTGGATTCAATTTTAAAAAAGTCGTCCGTCATATTGAATCCGCCATTTTCAATTGTGAAAAACTAATCTCAGATTCGTAATCAGCGACTCCAAAAACCCCACTGTAACAAATTTCAAGCCATTTCGATTGAATTTTAAAAAAGTCCGCCATAATGGATCCGCCTTTTTGAAAATCTAACATCATCGACGAATTCATCGACCTCGAAAACCCTTATACCCAAAATATGGGTTAAATCAAAAAATAAATTTTTGTTCGTGATTTTTACATGTTTTCCAATTGTTATAATTAATATTAGTTAATAAATAATTACTTAATTATTATAAAAACTAGAGTCAATGATATCTGTATTGTGCCAAAGATGATGTAAAAAATATAATATTTTGTTATATGTATATATATTTTTTGTGATAAGATGTTCGAAGCAACCCAACGACCCAACGTTGGGTTGCTGACACGGAAAGGGTGAATAGTATTGTGGACAGTATTAATTTTTATTGTACACAGAAAAAAAATTGGGTGGGCAGACGTCTCAGCGTTGAGATCGCTTCGTTTCTTTACTGAAAGTATGATAGAGAATCCATTCGGATAGCAGTGTGCTACCGTTAGGGAGAGTCCAGAATACGGGTTTCTGAACGTCGACGCGTTGATAGCGACGCGTCGGTCTTATGGGACATCAATGGGAGAGACAAAGACAGAATGATACGTCGACGTTCAGAAACCACTTATTCTGGACTCTCCCTTACAGGTAAGAGCAGTACCTTATAGATAAGGTAAGGCTATGAAGGAACTTTAGCTCTACCGCTACGGGTAGTCTGAGCTCCCGAAACGGGATGTTAGCAAAAATGTTTTATGATGATGATGTTTTATGTTAAAATTGTAGGCAACTGTCCAGTGCCAGGTCAGATCGTCCAACTAGTCCGTCTAGCCAGCGTCTAACCGTTTTTAGCGTTACACTTTTGGCCAGTCGCAGTCCAGAGTTCCTGGGCAGCTATTAGACTTTTTTGTGCTGGTGCTTCCGCTCTTCCTAGTTATCAGAAATAAAAAATTAAAATTAATGCCATGTCTGTGATGTCGCTATCGTCAGTACCGCGATTTTTAAATTTCATAGAAAAGTAACAAAATGGACGGGATTTTCACAAAAGTGAACAAAAATTACTCTTTTTTGTAATTAGTAGGTCAATATAATTAGTTAAAATAGTAGTTAAACAAGGCGGGTGCGGGACCACTTACCGACCGAGGTCGGTAATGTAGGAATCTACTTTACCGACCGAGTTAGTTCCGGCGGCCACCGCTAGATGGCGCCACCGATCAATTCAAACCCCCTTGGCGGGAAATTTGAATTTTTAAAAGTGGCTTGGCATTTTACCGGCCAATTCAAACCCCCTTGGCGGGAAATTTTAATTTTTAAAAGTGGCTTGGCATTTTACCGGCCAATTCAAACCCCCTTGGCGGGAAATTTGAATTTTTAAAAGTTTAATTTAAAGTGGCTTGGCATTCTACTTTACCGACCGAGTTAGTTCCGGCTGCCACCGTTAGATGGCGCCACTTTCGATTACCGGCCAATTCAAACCCCCTTGGCGGGAAATTTGAATTTTTAAAAGAGGCTTGGCATTCTACTTTACCGACCGAGTTACTTTTGGCTGCCACCGCTAGATGGCGCCACCGACCAATTCAAACCCCCTTGGCGGAAAATTTAAATTTTTAATATATTATTTTCAAGTGGCTTGGTGTTCTGCATTACCAACCGAGTTAGTTCCAGCTGCCACCGCAAGATGGCGCCATTTTATTTTACCTATTTTAAAGTTAATTTAAAGTTTAAAATTTCAATGTATATAATTATATCTAAACCTGTATGGAAAAAAACATCGAGAGGGATCCCCATTGCTGGTTGCGTCTATGCCGCTGCCAGCGCTGGGTTCATATGCTGAGTATCGTCTCTCCCCGCATCGATGTGAACTCAGCCGGGGGCTCCCTCCCATGCCTACAGCGGAGCGCGCAGCGGTGGGCCCGCCTGATTGCGCGCGCCAGCTAGGTGGTGGGGCGCTTCATAGTGGGGAGCGCCGTAGTGGGGACCGCCATGGTGGGGCGTAGTGTATAAAGCACGCCGCTCATGCCACCAGCATCATTCTTTTCTTTCAGGTGCAGCAGAATAGTTATAGAGTTTTCAGAATTTCAGAGTTTTTTCTTATTTCAGTTATTTGTTTTTGCTTTACTATTTTGTATTTGATTTAAGGTGGTGGATATTTATTTTCAGGGTTTTTTTAGTTTTTATTTCTTTTTGTTCTATTATTTTTTTGTATTTGATTTATGGTGGTGGATGTTTAATTTCAGGGTTTTTTTACTTTTAGTTCTTTTTCATTTGTATATAATTTAAGGTGGTGGTTTTTTATTTTCTGAATCTTTTAATTCCAGAATTTTCTTAGGTTTTAAGTTTTTTTTTCAATTTCTTTTCAGGTTTTTTACTTTATTTTCTTTTTCAGTTTATTTTTAGGTTTTTTTCAGGTGTTTTCTTTTTCAGATTGTTTTTAGGTTTTTTCAGGTTTAGTATTTAAGATGCCAAAGTGTAAGCCACAGAAGAAATCTCGACAACGGCTCGAGAATGATGAATTTAATGAAGTCTGTCAGGAGTCTGACAACTTCATTAAAATCGCTGAAAGTGAACTCATCACCACAATGTCAATGACAGGTGATGAAAAGTTCGTTAACGCATTCGAATGGCAAAACAAGTGTCAGCGTTACAAAAATATATTTAGAAAATTTTTGCGAAGATCTGATTTTGAATCTTATAAAAAATCAAAATGCTTAAATTTAAGTCAGAAACTTGAATACTTGCGTTGCCATTTCGATGCATTAATGAAACGTGGCGCGGGCTTGCAAGTGAGTAATGATAGAATGAAATGGGTAGATTTTGATAAAGCATTTGATGATCGTTTACAAACTAGTGCTATTATTAATATTGATTACAAGGATATTAATGAGTTCTTTGATGATGCTTTTGTTTTATTTAAAAGTAATATTGAAACAGCTTTAAACAAATTTGGTCCGCTAAAAGTTTATACAGTTTTGTGTGCTAAATTTAAAAAAGATTTAATTGTAGGTAATGGAGAAATGTCAGATATAAAGACATTTATCGCGAAAACATGTGAGATTTTAGTTACAACCCAGTTAGATGAGTGGTACAATCAGAATGTTAAACAACCAACTTTGAGACGAATCCAAGAATTCCAAGAAAAAGATTCTAATTGGAGACTTGATTCTATTCAAAGGTTGGAGGTTAACATTAACAAGTATAATCCCATGCGTGCTGGTTCTTATATTGATTTGCCACTTTTCATTAAAAGGAAACAAGCTTGTATTAATGTTCAAAATACAGACAATCAATGTTTTAAATGGTCAATTTTGTCAGCTTTACACCAAGTTGAAAACCATGCAGATCGAGTTTCAAAATATAGGCTTTATGAGAATGCACTTAATTTCAGTGGAATTGAGTTCCCTGTTTCACTCAAAGATATTTTAAAATTTGAGGCTCAGAACAACATTTCAGTTAATGTATATGGACTTGTCAAAAAGGCTGAAAAGTTTACAGTGGCTCCGTTACATCTTTCATCACAAAAGAAGATTGTTCATGTAAATCTTCTTCGAATTGAGGACCACTACATTGATGAAAATTTTACGGAGGAGGATGAGGAGATCGATCAAGTAACCATCATCTCTTTTAACTACCATTATGTTTGGATCAAAGATTTATCAAAGCTTGTCAGCAGTCAATTGTCCAAGAAAAAAAACAAAAAGTACATTTGCGATCGTTGCCTGCATTACTTTGGAGATGAAAATAAACTTTTTGAACATGAAGAAAATTGTAAAAAGATCAATGAAACGAGTATTGTGCTGCCGAATCCAGGTAAAAATTTTGTTGAATTTAAAAATTTCCAAAACAAGGAGCGTGTACCATTTATAATATATGCGGATTGTGAAAGTCTCTTGATTCCTGCCGAAGCACCACAACAAGCCAGCAATACTGAGGTTTTTCAAAACCACAAAATGCTCAGTATTGGATATTATTTAAAGTGTGCCTTTGATGACTCCTTGTCCATATACAAAGCATCTCCAAAAGATGAAGAAGATCCAGCTAAATGGTTTTCAACTGAGTTAAAAAATTTGTCTGACAATCTTGATAGGACATTTAAAAATCCTGTACCAATGGAAGTGTTAAGTCCTTAGAAACTTGCTGATTTTAGAAATGGAAGTACATGTCATATTTGTAGAAATAAAATCAAGCATGGGGATATAAAAGTAAGAGACCATTGTCATCTAACTGGGAAGTATCGTGGCCTCGCACATCGTGATTGTAATATTAATTATCATGAATCGCAGATCATTCCTGTTGTTTTTCATAACTTAAGCGGTTATGACGCTCACTTTATAATTGATGCAATTGCTACTGGATTTGAAGGAAATGTTTATCTACTTCCAATAAACAAAGAAAAGTATATCAGCTTTACTAAAAATGTAAAAGGTAGTTTTATCAAATTTCGTTTTATAGATTCATTTAAATTCATGGCATCATCATTGGACAAGTTAGCATCCTATCTCGACGAATATAAAATTGTAAATTGAGTGTTTTCTAATTACAATGACGATAAAATTCAATTGTTAACACGAAAAGGAGTTTTTCCCTATGAGTATATTGACTCAAGAGAAAAACTCGACGAAACTCAATTACCACAGAAAGAAAAATTTTATAGCACTTTAAACGATTCAAATGTATCAGAGGAAGATTATGCACATGCACAGAATGTGTGGAGTGAATTTAATTGTCAAAATCTAGGTGATTATGTTTTTTTATATATGCAAACCGATGTATTGTTACTCGCGGATATTTTTGAAAATTTTAGGAATCAGTGTATAATAGCTTACGGTCTTGATCCTGCGCATTATTATACAACACCAGGGCTGACATGGGATGCCATGTTAAAGTATACGAATATAAGACTGGAACTTCTTACAGGTATAGATATGGTAATGTACATTGAACGAGAAATAAGAGGTGGGGTGAGTCAGTGTTGCAATCGTTACGCGAAAGCTAATAATCCATACATGACGAATTATAATGAAAACGATGAGACGTCTTATATCGTATACTTTGACGCAAACAACCTTTATGGTTGGGCAATGGTGCAGTCGCTTCCGTATGGTGGTTTCGAGTGGATTGAAAATATTGATAACAATTTCGATTTTAACATTTCAGATGATGGGCCAATTGGCTACATTTTAGAAGTTGATTTAGATTATCCCGAGGAATTGCATGATAAACACAGTGATTTTCCGTTTTGTCCTGAACGCTCGAAGCCACCAGGATCAAAAGAGCAGAAGCTCCTAACTACTCTCCTACCAAAACGAAAGCACGTTCTCCATTATCGTGCTTTAAAACAAGCTATTGCCAACGGTCTTGTACTAGTTAAAATTCACCGTGTTTTGAAATTTGAGCAATCCACGTGGTTAAAAAGTTATATTGATTTCAATACTGAACGCAGAACTAATGCTAAAAATGAATTCGAGAAAAACTTATTTAAACTAATGAACAACGCGGTATTTGGCAAAACAATGGAGAACGTGCGAAAACATGTTGACATTAAGCTTGTGACAAAGTGGGAGGGTAGATATGGAGCTGAAGCCTTAATCTCCAAACCTAATTTCCACAGCAGAGCCATCTTTAACGAAAACTTGGTTGCTGTGGAACTAAGGAAAATGGAGGTTTTAATGAACAAGCCACTTTATATAGGTTTGGCAGTCTTGGACGTTTCAAAAACATTGATCTATGACTTTCATTATGATTATATGCTAAAAAAATATGATGCAAAGATATTGAAATTATTGTACACCGACACCGACAGCCTTATTTATGAAATCAAATGCTCTGACATTTATGCAGACATGAAAGAAGATATTCACAAATTCGATACTTCAGATTATCCGGCTAATAACGTGTACAATATTCCGCAAGCCAACAAAAAGATATTAGGACTCATGAAAGATGAATGCTGTGGTAAAATTGTCACAGAATTTGTTGGCTTGCGGAGCAAAATGTACAGCGTCCGCGTTGAAGAGAAAGATTTCATAAAAAAGGCTAAAGGTTTAAAAGCTGGAGTTGTTAAGAAAAATATTAATTTTAACGATTATTTATATTGTCTACGAAATGTTAAAATTCAATCTAGAACTCAGTATTCTATTAGATAAAAACTACACAAAGTACAAACTTTGAAACAAACAAAAATTGCTTTAAGTCCTTACGACGATAAAAGATTTCTGTTATCCAATAGCACCGATACCCTTGCATGGGGACATTGTAAAATTATAAAAATCTATAATGACGGTGATGATGATGATGATGATGAAACAATGTAAATAGAAAAAAAATTATAATTTGTCAGAAATGGAGAAATGGTTGATTTAATAAAAAAGATGTTGTACATTTTATATTATGTTTATTTTATTTACGAGAGCCTTAATCTAGTTACATTTCGTTAACTTTATTTAACCTTCCTTTTAACTTATTTTAACTTTACATTCATTTTTTAACTTTTTTAACTATATTTTAACTATTTTTAACTTTACTTTAACTATTTTTAACAATTTTTAACTTATCTTTAACTATTTTTAACTTTATTTTAACTATTTTTAACTTTTTTAAACTTCATTTTAACTATTTTTAACTTTTTTTTAACTATATTTAACTTTATTTTAACTATTTTTAACTTTTCTTTAACTATTTTTAACTTATCTTTAACTATTTTTAACTTTATTTTAACTATTTTTAACTTTTTTTAACTTTATTTTAACTATTTTTAACTATTTTTAACTTTTTTTTAACTATATTTAACTTTATTTTAACTATTTTTAACTTTTTTTAACTTTTCTTTAACTATTTTTAACTTATCTTTAACTATTTTTAACTTTTTTTTACTTTATTTTAACTTTA